AGATCTCCCCAGAGCCTTCTCTTCTCCAGGCTGAACAGCCCCAACTCTCTCAGCCTCTCCTCATAGGAGAGGTGCTCCAGCCCTCGGATCATCCTCGTGGCTCTCCTCTGGACATGCTCCAGCAGGTCCATGTCCTTCTTATGTTGGGGACTCCAGAGCTGGATGCAGTACTCCAGGTGGGGTCTCACGAGAGTGGAGTAGAGGGGCAGAATCACCTCCCTTGTCCTGCTGGCCACACTTCTGATGCAGCCCAGGATACGGTTGGCCTTCTGGGCTGTGATCGCACATTGCTGACTCATGCTGAGCTTCTGGTCAATCAGCACACCCAGGTCTTTCTCCTCAGGGCTGCTCTCCAGCCATTCCCCACTGAGCCTGTATTTGTGCTTGGGATTGCCCCAACCCAGATGTAGGACCTTGCACTTGGCCTTGTTGAACTGCATGAGGTTGGCTTGGGCCCACCTCTCCAGCCTGTCCAGGTCGCTCTGGATGGCATCCCTCCCCTCCAGCGTGTCTACCTCGCCAAACAGCTTTTTTCATGCACAACAAGCTGGGAATGGGACTTACTCATGAAAGGAATTAGATGTATTTAAATAATGCATCTAGGACTGGCTTGTGAAAGAAATTCCATTACTGAGGTGTTAAGATGATAAAAACTAGGAAGAGATCTTGGTCCTTCATAGTGCTTTTAATAAACTTCAACAAAAAATGGCTTCTTAAAAGCTTGCCCTATGAGTTTGTGTTTATTTGAATCAGAGAGCATTAAACTGTCATCTGCCAGATATCATTTATGCCGTATCTTTGCTCTGAGGCAAATTACCTATATATCTTGCTTCACAAATATTTATTTGACCTGCCATTGAAAACTGCTACTGAGAGCGTTTCTACAACCTCTCCAAATAGTATTAATCTGATTAATTTGTATGTTATCTAGTGCAGGTGCATGTAGCAACCTATTGCTGCGTTTATTTATTATTTTATTTTATTTTAGGTAAACCTTTCTGATTTTTAAGGTTTTAGCATTATTTATGTCTGGGAATTAAACCTCCCCTATCCTTCTAGTCTGTCTCTTTTTTTTTTCTTCTTCTTCTCAATGATTGCATTTTCGGAAACCTCTTATTTTGAGTCCTCTTTCCTGGTTTCTTTTTAAGTTGTCTAGCTTCTCTTGAATTGTGGTAGACCAAACTAGAAGCTGTTTCCTAACTGAGATCTCAATGAATTGTGCACATATTAACAAACGTAGTCATGAAAATGAGAAAACATTCCTGGCAATTTTATTTTTCTTGGTGAATGTCGTTGAATTCATCTATGTTCCATAGAGGTGGGACTTTGCTGTCCTTCTCCTTGCCATTTCCTGATGATGTGAATTTAAGAATATGTTTTTGAGAGCCGGTATTTGTATGCAAATACATGCAAATTAGCACCACCACGTTTTTTTCATAGGGAATGTGGGATGTTTCGCATTAACTAACATTGCAGGGAGTATACAGTGTGCACACTAGTGTCCTCTCTGGGCACTGACGTTGCACAGAACCATAACACGGGGAGGTGCAGCCAGGAATTTGTGCAGCTCGTTTGCCGCACTCGGCTGTCACAAGTGCCAGGATCCCTTCTCTGAATGCTACAGAGGTCACTGACAATGCTAATGGAGGCAGCGACTGCTGTGGAAGCAGGAGCTTTTCTCATGACGAGACTGATTGCTCCCAGTGTGGAGGAAGTGTATGGCAACCCGTAGTGCAAAAACCCAACAGTTTTCGCAGTAGCCCCTGGAAACTGCTGTAAAAACTGAACTGTAGCTCACCTCCCCAGCTCCTGGCTCTCGCTAGTGTAGAAAATGGGCCTCTGAATCATTTAGATAAAAAGATGGGGTGAGCAACTTATTTTTGTTCGACTCAAGGGTTTCATGACTGACACTGGCTGCCTGGAGGACACACACAGAAGTGGAGTGCTACAGAGAGTTAAATAGAGAAGACAGTGAGAAAAATGACATATAATAGAATCATAGAATGGTTTGGGTTGGAGGGGACCTTGAAGATTGTCTAGTTCCAACTCCCCTGCCATGGGCAGGGATACCTTCCACTAGACCAGGTTACTCAAAGCCCCATCTAACCTGGCCTTGAACCTAGCCATCTTCACCTTGAACACGTACATCTTCACAGGCATAAAATGTGCAGCAAAGGAACCCGTGTCTCCCTGGCACCGGGAGGAGAAGTCACGAACATTAAACAACTCTCTGTGCTGCTGCCTGCCCTCTTCTAGTGCTCCTCATCCTCTGTGGGGGTGGTTGTCTGCAGAGCTTAAGCAATCAGAGGCTGCTTGACCCTCTTCTTTAGGGTCAGTGTTTGCTCAGCACATGCTCTTGCATGCCTCTTGCCTTTCCTTATCTCATGTGTTCCTTCTCTGTGCTGCACATTTCCAGCATGCTGCAGAAAAACAATGAAGCCAGCAGGTGCAAATGGGGATGTCTTGATTTGATGGATGAACTTAAAAATGGGAGGGCAAATTTGGCTATGGTAGAGCTCAAAACTTTTTTTTTTAAAAAAAACCAACAACCCAGAACCAACAAAACCCAACAACATAAAAAACTAAAAGTCTTTTTCTGAAAAAATCCCAAATTCTACTTATCTCCGAGAATCCTGGTTTCATTTTTGCCTTTTAAGCATTAAAAATATTGTTCATATCCTTGATTTTAAAAGTTGGAAAAATTTGAAATGAAAAATGCACCAGTTTTTGGTGCAATTTGTATGTATTAAGTAGACTTCTCCTGACTGTAATTTTTGGAGCAGTGCATAATTGTTTGAATGTATTTTCATCTTTATCTGCTGCACCTTCCTTCTTCTCCCAGGTCTTTACTATGGAGCATTTAGGGCTCTTCATTGTCTGGAAGTTTCTTTCTACTTCTGTTTTTCAGAGTCTTGGCGCTTTGCTTTCCAAAGTAAATTTGCTCAGTGGCTTTCTCTTTATTATGTTATCACCCTGCCCACCAGAACAAGACTGTGAGCAGAACTGAGATGCACATACTTAATTAGCCACTGAAAATTCTTCTCTGTATTTTCTTGGTAAATTCTGTACTCTGAAGATACCCCGCAGTGTATTATTAAAAATGCCACTCGCCTGTTGTTTGTGAGCTGTATAATGCTTATAATACCACACAGTGGTAACAGTCTGGAGCCTGATACTGGTAACAAGACAGAACACAGTGAAAAACAGAACTTTAAAAGAGTTTGGGGGGGGAAGTCTTTGCTATAGATAATAATGGCCTCTTCCATAGCCTTTCTGCTTGTCAGAAATTCCAAGTCTGTGTCTTTGTTTTTGCTTTGTAGTTACATAGGATCATCTCTGCAAAAGGTTTTGTTTCTACATTTCCCCACACTCTGGTACAAAAATGTCCTATTGTGCTCATAGGTTTGGCACAGTAAAGAATATTTGTAGCTTTGTCCAGTATTTATACAGCACTTTCACATTTTTCTGACAGCTTTCTTCTTATCTTTTTTTCTTTTAAAATAAAACACCTACGAACTTGCAAATTAAAAAAGACTGAGGTTGAAGCCCATCAATCCTGAATGTCAGTTAAAATCTTGACTGTCTTTCTGTGCACAGGTGCAACCTTCCTCCTCTATCCAGTGAATACACCAAGGATGTTGGATCGAAAACCCAGCTGGTGACGGCAAATCCCAGTATAATTCAGAAAAGGTAGAGAGCATATTGTTCCTTCTCTGGTCGGGGGAGATGAAATTAAACATGCTTCATATGTGCTATAGATATTAGCGCATCAGAGTTACATTCTTAATGATCTTCTGATCTGGAAAAGATGAAATAGGCAATGGTTTGGTGTTAGGGGAAATAATTCAAGACCAAACCCCTGATCCTTTCACTGTAAGTGGGGAAACTAAGGGAGGCTGGCTTTTACAGAGTTAGTTCTTCTCTCATACTCTGCTCAGTGCTTCCAGCTCCCTCCTTTTACCATACACCAGGCATGTGCCGGAGGTGCTTTGGCTGCTTCCAAGCCAGACACATACTGATGGGTGGCCCAAACTACTTTGCTGGTTAGGCCAGCTGGCTGCTGCATCCCACAGTTAATGAAGATGCTAATTTGGGTTTCTCTTTGCTTCACCACTGATAACCTTTGGGTCCTTTCTGTCTTCATATTATTTGTTTGATACTGACTTACGGGCACAAAAGAGCTTAGGGTGGAACCGATTGGCAGGTTGTGATCATATAAGCCTCACTTTCTTAGGAAACTGGGACAAATTTTTGTTGTTTATTAGAGTTGGTTGAAATTTTCCAAATGTCAGTAGCTGATGAGAGAGGGGAAGAGGGAGGGGAAAAAAAAATTCAACACCATCTCTCTGATTTTTGCCTTCCTGAATTTTAATTACTGTGTTATTTGTTTATCACCCTGAATGAGGTAGGCTGTTCTCAGGTGGAACAAGATCTGGTAGTAACCTGCCACATTCACTGAAAAACAAAGAGAAAAGGCATAAACCAAGAGGATGAACAAGAAATGATTAGACATAAAAAAATATATAATGGGGGTACTGGGAGGTGAAGGATTGTGAAAGGAAGCAAAGCAAGGAAATAAAATGAATACTAGAAAGCCAGGTGTTTCAGAAAGAAGAAAGGCACAGACTTGGAAATGGATGTTTGATGGTATTTAAATATAATATTTTCCCTCTCTATCAGGAATTGAAGGGTTCGCTAGTTTTGTGTGTGGAAAAGATGACAGCCTTTGACAGAGTAGGAAAGAGAGGGTGGGCAAGAGGGAAATGGAGTAGTAATCAGCTTGAAGAGCTGATTCCAGGCAGAGAGTGTCTGAATAGGAGAAGGCACAGAAGTGCTCGTGGGATGAGAGCAAAACAAACCAAGCAGAATTGGCAGAGGATGGCACCAGGTGCCAGGCAAAAGGAAGGAGCTGCTAAGGGCAGTGGACCTGAAGATGGGGAATCTGAAAATCCAGTGGGACGTAGATGGCTAATGAGGTTGATTTAATGCGCGGGATGAAATGGCCACAACATCCCATCAAGGAAAGAACATCAGTTTGGCCATGGCGTTTTGGATAAAATGTAGAGGAGCAATGTGAAACATGAAGTTTACAAAGGATTTTACAGTTGTCAAGGCAGAGGATTATTAAACTCCTGGATGTTTATTTTGCGCCCTCCCCTCCATCAAGGCCTAAAGTGGAAAGCTCGCTGTATTTTGTATTTTTGGACAGAAGAGGAAAAGGAAAAAGAGTTTTAGTGATGCAACAAGGAGACTATGGAGCTACACTAAAGAGCCTGTGAAGTTATCCAGCAAGAAGGAAGGAAAGGAGTGAACAGATGGTTGAAGAAGCAGATGGAGAGAGTGAGACGCTACTTTGCGAGAGGGGGATATCACAAGGAGGAGTGGAAGGGGAGGGAAATGGGAAAAGAGAAAGGGAGGAAGGAATAGATGGGCCACAGGAAAAGGGATTGTGTTCAATGTCAGTTTGCAAAGTGAGTGGATGATAACTGCAGTGCAAGACCTTTGATGAGAAAGTAATGTGGGATATATATGCAAGTGTATTGATTAGGAGGAGATACATAACCGGTAACTGAGAATGACATAGAGAACAAATTTACAGTGCTGAAAATTGGCAGAAACCTCCTCTGAGGCTTGGAGCTCTTGAGAGATCTGACACTTTGCTTCCCCTGCCTGGTCAGGAAGAGATTTTTTATTTTTTAAATAATATTTTACTGACATTTCCTGTATGCTAGCCAAACTCATTATTTTACCTACTGTGTGTTAAGGTAGAATTGGAAAAAAGGTGAAAACTTGGAAGTTAAAATAGAAAAAAAAGATGACTACTCTGTCAACAAATAATCCATTTTAATGGAAAGAAGGTTTTTAAGGAATTAAGACTGCTTATAAGTCCAGACTTCCGTGAAATTCAAGGACCTTCAGATTGGTGACTGATATGTATCTGTTTCTAAGCTGTAAGTTAACTAGCTTCACATAATGGTATTTTTCATTATCATTCTTCTCCTTCTCTCTTGTCCTTACTTTAAGTAGGTTGATATTGATGAGGCTTGACATCTCAATTATCTCTCAAGTGTGTTACGGCAGATTTAGTGAATTGGTCCTGCAACACCATTCATGGCTTCTAAAAGATTTATCCTTACCAGGTAATTTATGATGAGGCGTGTTGGATAGAGCAAAGTTGTCACACCAGGGATGTGGAGGCAATTTTCTGTGTAGTTTTAAAGCCAGAATGATTGCCTTTAGAAAACTAAATTGTTGGCAATAATTATTACAGAGCGATATCTGAGCTACCACTGTGTCCCTCTAGACTTCGAACCTTAGGATGGGAGAGTCAGGACTTTAACCTGGGTGTACACTGACTTTAGAGATATCTTCTCAGCATTGCCTTCTACAAAACTTTGAGTAGGCAAATAATAATGAAGGAATCGGAGATCAAGTTCCTACTCCATTTTCAGCAGTAAATATGACTATGCAGTCAGTATAATTTTCACTTGCCCAATATTGTGCTCAGTTTGAAAAACGATGAGATTTTCCTACCCTAACTTTGCTTCATACGATACAGGAGTACTGACTGTGGAGGTATTACAATAGAAATTTGCTGAGCTGACTCGTAATGACTGCCCAGTTTCTTTTTTTGTCTAAAATATTTCACAAGCGTATCCCTTCAATTAATTGTGAAACTTACAGTCCTTTGAGCCTGTGTAAAACTTCTTTTTCCACTTTGCGTTTGAACCTTACCTCTCTGTCAAACCCTGGTTTGAGGTTGCAATTGGGATTGAAATGTTTCATAAAGCTACTCCTGGGGTCACTGTGACTTCTCCCACCCCCTACCCCCAAATACGGTTGAGGGACTGCAAAAAGGTTAGTATCTTTGATGTTTCCAGTTCATTACCCTACCACCCTAGTCAGCTTGGTCTTATCTGCAGGGAGACACTTTCTAGGCAGAAGATTACTCTATATTTGTCCTGGTTTTTATTTTCTTCCCACAAGTAGCCGCTGTAAGTCACTGCTTGGAAAGAGGTGGTGCAGTAAAGAGACCTGTGATGTGCCTATTGCTGTTCTTAGACTTTGTGAAAAAATCAACAAGGTTGATATTCGGAACACTTGTCTACCTCTGTGGAGAGGGACTAGTCAGTGGATCACATGTGAACATAAAAATGCTTAAATAGGTAGTGATGATTTTTGACGAATGGCATAAGATTTTTGACTAAGATATGCAAAGAGTTACTATTCGGGATGTGGATATTATGTGTTTCTGAAGTCACTGGCTCTGGGCTGTTGGAGAAGCAAATTCCAGGAATTTCTTACCATCTTCAACTACTCTTGCAATTGTCATCTAATAATATTCTTAGCTTTTGTCTAAAGTTTTAATTAAATCCTCAGACAAATGCTCTTTGCAGCAATATTCTGTTCTAGTTGCCATGTCTGTTTGCTCTGTCCATGCACACATAGATCATCATTAACATGGATATAATAGTTCAAGTAGATGGTTTCCCAGCATTCAGTAAGTTTCAGATGGACTGATGTTTGTTGGTGAGTGTTTTGTCCACGAGCTGTGTGAGTGTTTCTGACCTGTGTAGAAATAATCTCATTAGAAAATGGCACGACGACTATGGTAGCATTCTTCATTTGCCATAATTCAGCATCGGTGTAACTGACAGAAGACCCCGAGGTATGTAGCACACACCTCCCAACACTGTTTTTGAGACAAAATCCGATAATCGGTTGAATTGTGTGAAGCCTTCCCCCCTTCTCCTTTCAGGGTGCTGTATTTTCTCAGCACTGATGGTGCTGGAAGGAACACACATTGCATCTGGGGGGAGAGCAGGCAGTTGTGCAGCTGCTCTGGGGGCTGCTACTGATGCTCGCAGCATGAGAAGCAGATGGCGAAGGGGGACTCGGGGTCTCTGCCCTCGCAATCCTCGCTGTATGATGAGTAATGAGATCTGTTCCTTCCCCTGGAGAAAACCCTCCCCACGTCCTTCTCACCAATGAAGGGAGAAGTCAGACTCTTCTGCTACCTGAGCCCACCATGCACATGGAAAGCACATAAGTCCATGGCAGGGGCAGAGCATGGACTGATGCTTCTGGTCCAGCAGGAGAGGAGAGCCCTTCTGCTGAAGGGAAGAGCCAAGGTGCTCTTTCCCACCTCCGGCTTTCCTCTGCTGCTGCTTCGGCACCGCGCAAGTCCCCGGGAGCAGGAGCTTTGTGCACTGTAGAGCCAGGCTCTGAGGCAGAGCTCCACCACCCCTGTTTGATATCCTCTCCCCGCATCAAAGAAATCCACTTGGATGAGGACCAGGTCATTCCTGTATGTGTTTAGGGCTTTGGAGGTTACCATAATTAAATCCATTATGAAAATTTCTGTGAAATACCTGTGCTGTCAGAGACAGGGTGAGGGTGTAGGTGATCGTGTTTCTGCTCCTACAGTGTTTTTACTAGAGCGCGCCTTGTTGCTTTGAATACAGAAATAAGCGAAGGGTTAGTTGAGGTGGTATCAATCTTCATTCTTTGAAATGTGGATTATTTTTTTTTTTAAAGTCTTTGTAGTAGACCCTCTCAACAGTTCTATAACATTGCTAACGGAAATAGTCTGACTGAAACTTGGATAACCAGATTTAGGATCAGCTGTTACGCTTTTTGGCTCAGGATGAACTTCCATCACTGAACGTGAACAGGTTTTTTCAGTAAAT